TGAGAGGTTCCCACATGGCACGCTTGCGTGTAGAGTGAGATCTAGCATCTTCCAACAGAGATTTATTACACTTGGAAACAGCGCTCCAGAATGGCAGTCTCTGAAAATAGTCTTGATCTATCATAATTTATTCTGGTATTGATTGCAAGTCAAAGGCAGAAATATTCTTTGATTTAAAAGGCTAAAAAACTGCGTTCAGGAAGTAGGACTGAGACTTTCCTGTTTTGTTCTTTTTTGTTTGGATTTTCTTTCTTTTTTTTTAAATGCAAGCCAAGGAATTTCTTAATGCCTGTTTTCATCACAAGAAATGAGAGTAGCGTAGTTACAAAATTAATTAAAATAAATGGTAAAAACTAGCATTTGTCATGCTTGTCTCATTTTCTGCTCTGTCGTAATTCTCAGAAACTTCCAAACCGTAGGCTCTAAATAGGCACATCAGTTGGAAATAGATGGAACAGGTATGAACACATCAGTTGGAAAGGCACAGGGATTGAAACATAATAGATATGAACAGTTCTATTAGGTTCATATTAATAGCATTACTGATTTCTGGATCATGCATTTCCAGGCAGTTAAACCCAGCTGGTCTGTCTTGAGACTTCATTTACTTCAGCCAGTCATTAATTTCTAGACATTGCTCAGTCCATTATTACTTAAATAATACAGTAGTCAGGTTTTGTTTTTTGCACTTGTGATTGTTTTTTATTACTCTGTTAAGGTGTTTTCAGTGTGCAATCTATAGAAATAGTGACTCCATATGGGTTCAGGTTGCATCTGTTCTTGGCAAACTAATTTTAACCCTTATGTAGGCCAATCAGCTTATGTCTTGATAACTAGGTGGTTAGTTATTTTTAATGTGTTCTTGCAAGCACCAGACGTTAACAGCAAGGTTAAGTGGTCTTTACTTTTCAATTTTCTTTATTCCTAATGTAAAGTTTTGTACATACAGGCAGTCCTTCAACTTATGACACAATTGGTTCCTGAAAACCACGTCGTAAGTCAAAATGTTGCAACTCGGAACCAATTTTCTTATAAGAAACAATGTTATAAATGGGGGGTTGGTTCCTGAACCAAGGCCCAACACTCTATTTTCACCAAAAATACCCCAGAATTTTATACTTGATCAATTATAGGTGAGTAATATAGCTACATTGCTATTTACAATATAAATACATTAATCACATTGATTTGAAAGGACTTCTTTGAGGAGACTTTGCTGGACTTTTTGAAGGGCTCTTGGTTGGACTTTTAGAAGGGTTCTTGGCTGGGGTCTTCTCAGGAGTCTTGGCTGCAGGCTTTTCTGGAGTCTCGTCTGCCGCCTTAAAGAAAGTGTCCAGGGAAGTTTGGACAGATGTTCTCCAGGGAGATGGGTGCAGCAGTGAACTTGTTTGCTGGCGTGGCATCACATCAGATCAAGCATTGTAAAGTCGAAACTGGTGTCAGAAAGTCGAAACAGGGTGTCAATTTATAAACGTTGTAAGTGCAAAATGTTGTAACTCGAAATGTCATAAGTCAAGGACTGCCTGTACTTGTACTTGTGTTTCCTGCATGCTGACTTAAAGCTACTGTAAAAGGGTTTAAAAGAACAATTTTGGTAGAACCAAACAGTCTGCGAAATATAACTGGAAAAAAAATCTTTGCTTATTATGTATCTATCTCATACATTTGAACTAAATGTAGAATACTATACAAAGAGGATAGAAATACTACACAAATGAGATAGAACGTGCTTTTGACTTACTGGGTTATTGGTTGTAGCCATGTTAGTCTAAGGACATAGGCAGGCCAGATTCTTTGGGTCGATGTGATGTCTTTTATTAGACTAACTAAGTAGTTAGAAAAAAAGTTCTTAGCTTTTTTCCAGCTACTTGGTTGGTCTAATAAAAGATAACACATCTACCCAAAGAACCTTGTCTGCCTTTTGACTTACAATATTTATTTAGAAAGACACATAATATATTATGGTTGGATGACGCACAAAATTGATGGTGGGTTATTTTGGTAACTCATGTGATATGTATTGTTGGTATCAGTAGAAGAGTCCAGGTCATAAAAACTGTTCTCATAACTGATGACATTGAGGACAATCTAATGAGAATAAGCATAACAATCCTTTTACTACAACAGTTGCTTTTCACAGCTCATGGCAAAGTTAGCTTGATAGTGTGGCACAGAGAAGATTATGCCACCATTTCCTATGCGAGCATATAGGAAAAATATATTTTAGGGCCCCAGTTTTGCATGTACTGTGGCCAATACAAACCTCTATTGATTACAATGGAACACGAATCGTGCTCTTTGCACATGTAAGTGCAGTATCCTTTGATACTTACATATCATTTTAGAGTTCTAAATTGAAATTTAATTTGAATTTTTTCCCCTTTGTTAGTTGTTTGCTTTGATGCCAAGATAAACTTCGATGACAATGCAGAGTTTAGGCAAAAGGAGATATTTGCCATGGATGACAAGTCTGAGAATGAGCCCATAGAAAATGAGGCTGCCAAGTATGACTTAAAGTACATAGGACTGGATGGAAACATTGCTTGCTTTGGTAAGAAAAAAAATATATCTGTGTGGAGCTCAGTGCAGTGGTTCATAAATGGCTCACAGCAAGTCAGAGCTCTCTGCTTTGAGAAATATTCCCAAATGCTGACCAGCTAATCCATTAGATTAGGGGCAGGCAAAATATATTCCACGGGTTGGATCCCTCCCACAGAGTGATTTTGCCCACCTCATGACTGGTACCTCAACCTCCCTGAACGGTGCTGGGACACCCCTTTCCTATGCCCCATGTTGAGCTGGCAGGGCTTGAGTTTGCCGCTACTGCAGACATCCCCTACTGAGCTGTGGGCTGGCACGGGATGGGGTGCCCCAGTGCTGCCTCCCTCTCCCAGCCCCAGCCCAGTCCTGGATGCTGCAAATGCGTGGTGGAGTGTGGAGTTGCTGCCAGGTCCACCCGGCTCCCTCCCCAGCCTGCGGGCTGTGCACCCCGGGCCAGGAGAGGGAATGAACAAGGGGAGGGGGGAAGGAAGCTAAGTTCCCCCTGCTTGGAGGGCTTGGCTGTGATATATGGCTGTCCCCTGCTCCTGCCTCTTCTTTTCAGCTTCCCAAACCTCCTCCACAGGGCTCACAGCACTCCTCTCCCCATCCTGGGTGCTGTGGCCCTGGTGGTGGCTTTCAGCTCTGCCCTGGCCCCACGCTGTTGCTGCCCCAAGATCCCAGTCCCAGACACAGCTCTGGGAAGCCTCATGGCAGGCAGGGAGTTTAGTCTGAGGCTGGGGCTGGGATCATGAGACAGTGACAGTGCAGAGCCAGGACAAGGCAGAGCTGAGATCCACTCCTTGTACGCCCCTGCCCGTGGAGGTTGCACTCATTGCAGGGGCACGTGGGCAGCAGATCATGGCTCTGACCCAGCCCCGGTTCTGCGCAGTCACCACCCCACGACCCTGCCCTGTGATCCCGGCCTTGCTCCCCCATCCTGCTCCTGGACACTGCTGCCTAGGGTCCCATCCCGCATAGGGAGTTTTAGTGAGCTGTTGTGCACGGGGGCTGGAGGGTGCTGACCCAGCCTGTGACAGCTCACCAAAACAGCCTGTGTGGCCCTCGGTCTCAAAACATTGCCCACCCCTGCGTTAGATTAATCAAAGGAACAGACAGGATCGTTGGAAATCTATTAACAATAGAGATATCTAAATGCATCAGATTAGAGGCCCTACATTTTTTTATTATGAATCGTTTAAAGGGACATCAGCAACTTGCAAATCACATTCTCAGTTGATAGTGATAATTTATCTACTATTGTTACAGTCCTTGCTGCATTTAAAAATGCGTAGGGAATATAGGATGTCATCTGTGTTGAAGCAAATGTTAATAAAACTTCATGGAAGTTAACTTCATAGAAGAAATCCCGCAATTTGAAACAACTTGTTGAAAAAATGAATATCCAGTTTAAAATATTCTTTATGCAATTTTATCTCACCGAGGTTCATGAAATGAAACATGGTTTCTCACCCTGGCAGGGGAATTGAGATGATAAGTGGATGTTATTTTACTGTGGTTTAAGAAATATTTTCCCCCATTGCTCTGAGGAAGGATATGAAAAAATTTACAAAAATGAGGTGGGTCAAAATGTGGTAATCAGCTGACAAAATATAATTTAAAAAATAACACCACCTTGACTTTCCTCCTCTAGCTTCCCACTTATTCACCTTGATGGGCATCATTGAAATCTTTCCAGACTAAGGGGTCTGTGGTGCTAAGCACACTCATTCTGCCCAAATTTAATGAAAGCTGAACATACTAAGTACCTCTGAAATCCAGACAGGCATTTGACTCCTAATTATGGGTGTAGGTGCATCCTAGTTTACACATTTTGGTGCAGTCCTTTTTAAAATAGTAAGAGATTTCATTGTAAGTATTGGGAGGTGTTTTTTCTCTATTAGTCTGGCATTCTACATTTGAAACAAATGTTAGAGTGAACAGGAAATGCATGAAGTTTTATAAATAGGTCTTTTCTTATTCTGGTAGGCCAGTTAAGTCGTAATTCCAGAGTCTGAATTACATTTTGTGAAAAAACAAACCTTGTACCTTTACAATTGCAGTGAATGGAGCTGGGCTTGCCATGGCCACCTGTGATATCATTTCCCTTAATGGTGGAAAACCAGCCAACTTCCTGGACCTCGGTGGAGGTGTGAAAGAAGCCCAAGTATATCAGGCCTTCAAACTGCTCAGTGCTGATCCTAAGGTAACATGGTTGTCTTTGAAAAGGATGCTTTCTCATACCGTTCCAACCCCTGCCAAAATATATCTGAAAATACCAATGATAGCCTGGTGAACACCGAGGGTAACCTACTGGGATGATGGCCTGCTGGTTAAGAGACAGGACTGGTTCAGTTTCCAGTTCAGTCTCACACTTTCTATGGACAAGTTGCTTAGAGCTCTGTGGCTATATCCAGAAGGGGATATAGGCATTGCCAGCTTTTGGAGTGGATCTCAAAGCCCTAAATCAGGCACCTAACCTCCTTGTACAATTCGTGGGGAGAATTAGGTGCCTCAGCAGTGTCAGTGGGCCGGCTGTAGAGATGTGTAAGCTCAGTTTATAGGGTGTGCTCCTCTTGAGGTCTGATTTACTGCCTTGGGACTTGGGACCCCTCTTCAGTCAGGCCCCTCTCCTGGGGTCTGGCCACAAGGGATTTAGATGCAGAGCTGGTCCACCCTGCCAGCATGGAGGGAGGTCAGGATATCTGGAGAAACAGAACCTCAAGTGCCCTAAAGACCTTTGCTGGGGAAAACCTTAAGCCTCTACAGACACCTGTAGCTCTTGTCAACATGATATCAGGGTATCTGTTGGCATAAAGCATCTCCTCATCCTGTTCCAAATCCTCATGCTGATAGATGGCAGCTTTCTCCGTGGAAGTCGGTGAAGCTGTGCTGAAGGACACCAGTGAAACACTGAGCCCAAACCACAGTGGTTTATAGGTCATGTCTCTACTACTCTACTTCATTTTTTTTCCTTTCCTCCCTTTCATTTACTTTGTCTTCTCTGTTTTCTTTTTGACGTCATCTCTGCTCCTCTCCTCTTTTTTCAGCTGAGGAATTGCCATCTTCTGAAACTAGAGCAATGCCTTCTCCCAGCTTATTTCTCTTCACTTCTTTTTGCAGGCTGCCTTTCCTCCTTTAGCTTCCCACTCTTTTCTGGAGTGACTGCTTAGTGTGTCCTGATGGACAGATATTTTTTCTCAGAAAAGGGTCCTGCGGAAAACTCTCTGCCCTGAGGCACACAATAAATAGGAATGTCAGAGTCTGTTGTAAGTACAAGGAGGGGCTTGGTCCAGCACAGTTTTCGAAATTATTGCCCTCATCCATTTTTAAGTTATTAACCTCCTTTCCCTTGACTCAGCCCTCGCACACTAGTTATTGTTCCCTGGCTTTTATGTTTAAGTCACCTAAAAGGCTTTGTCTGGTTTAAACGAGGCACTTCTGAACTGCCTCTCATCAGCCCTGTGATTTGACTGATTTCACTTTTATCTCCCGGCACTACGGCCATCAGAGATGCGGTCTCCGTTCAGGATGAGTTGAGCTGGAACTCGCCGCTCGTTTTTGGCAGTAATTTATGAAGAATGCATGTAGGATTAAATTACGATTACCGTGGATCCGTCTCCCTATAACATCCCGACACACTGCCTGCACCAGGGTTTGAGAGCTAAGAGGCCTCAACCTTGGTGCATATGTAATCGTCCTTCTTTCTGTGCTACTAAAGATCATCTATAAGTTTGTTTAACCATTTAAAAACAGGTTGCACATCTTTGCTCTATGGCAAGCATATGGTAGTTTCATATCTAGTACTTCCTCTGCCTGAATAGTGTGCTCTCCACTGGAAAAGCCATGGACAAGATAATCTAATGAGCTTTCTCCAGTTCTTCACTAATATTGAGTTTCAGTCAGCGAGGGTTATTTTGGTTAATGCAGTACTTGCAGTTCATAGGTGGTCATTAATTACCCTCCAACGTTTAACATAATTCCCACCTTATCAGAGAAAAGAAAAAATTGTTCTTGGGAGCTTCCAGGCCAATTAATGATTGTTAACGTCTCCAAACAGCATTGAGCCTCTGAGGAAAACATAAACCAGAGAACACCCTGAGGGCTTCTGACTGCAGCATAGCACTGAACTCTTAACTGTGCTGAAATATGGCACTGGGAGCACTGGGGACTCTACCAGAGATTTAAATCTTCCTGGGGGAAAGCAAAAGATCAAGTGTGCTTTAAAATAAGTCTCTGTGTAAGTAAGCCTAGTGAAGAGGAGGGGAAGTGAAGGGCATTCTTGTAGCTTGATAATGTGAAATGACTGTTGTCAAGGCAGTGCTTTTTAAAAAGATACCCATCTCATTTCTTGGCGAATTCCTCCACCCCAACCCCTAGAAACCAAACTAGACGGAGGCTTTAAAATGGAAACAGCGCCTTTACAAATAGTCACGTGCCTGTGCTTTTCATCCTTTACCGGTCCTGGTTCCTGCTTTGTAGGGCTGCATACAGCTGTTGCAATGGTTTTAACTCCTTCTTTGGACTGAACAGCGGTCTATTTTTTTTCCCCTCCTTCCTCAGTCCTCCCCTTTTGCATGCATTCCTGTGGTACATGTGCTTTGGAAGGAGTTGAACTCCCCCTCCTCTCCTTCACCCCCGGAGAGGGACAGAAGGTGCCTAGCCTCTTTCCTCAGTTTTCCACCTGCCGAAACGTAATTGCTCCTTCAGTCCTCCTGTAACATGGAAAAGGAGTTTGTGTTCTTCGGTATCTCAGGGATGTACTGGACAGTCCCCAGCAGAGAGATGGGCCATGGGCTGTTACAGCCTCTCCAAGTGCTGCCTGTGTTCAACTCTTGTTCACAACCATGGACCTGTTGTTATGCACATTACCTCTATACCTAGGAACCTAGACCCTGACCCCATTCTCCCCAAAAGATTTAAGAGGTCTAGACTGAGCAGAAAGGATGGGTTAGTGGACTTGTTACTTCCACGTATGGAAGGATGGGCTAGTGGACTGCAGGATTTAAGACGCTTGGGTTTGGATCCCAGATCAGCCACTGACTTTATCCCCCAGTTTGGGCAAGCTGGTCGATCCACTTTGTCCATCAATTCTCTATCTGTTAAATGGAGATGATAATATTCCTCTGCCTTACAGGCAACATAAAATACACTGGTGATGGAAAGATACTCAGCTGGTAGAGTAATGAGGGTCCTGTGGGCAGTTAAAGTCCGCTCAGAAACTGTAAGCATTTCTGTTTTGCTATTAACTAAACTAACACAGAAGGTCAGGCGCAGAGATTAAATTTAAAGGTAACGCTGTAAAAAGAAAAGAAAAGGACGGAAATTATTTTTTAATGAAATGTCCTGCTTTTTTTAATGCTGCCATTGATAATAGCAAGAGATTAACCAATTCAGCGGATGCTAACAAGTGTTTGCTTGCCATACATACAGAACAACGATAGTGACTGCCTGATATGAACATTTCTCCAGGAAAACATTGTATAGTGACATCCGTTAACTTACATAAAGGAGACGACAAATGCCAAACACAAGTAAAGCTTAATTTGTTTTTCCTTCAGCCATCTCGTAGTCCAAACGCAGATCATTGTTGTACGAATATGGAAGAAGCATTTTTATTCCTCTCACTTCCCTTAGCCTGTTTGCTTATGTTGTCTGCATCTCTCCGTCCACCTTCATGAAGGAAAAATAATGACACTGATGTGTCTTGTCATTAAGTTGTATGTGAAGCAGAGGTCTTGGGGCGTTTCATTTTCTAGACTTCTGAGGCAGTGAACAGAATTCGGAAAGAGATCATTAGGTATTTTGCAATTCACTTATTTTCCAGCTGTGGTTTGCATGAAGGTAATATGGTTTATCCAGGCTTATTAGATCAGATATTTTTATCATCCGCATAGCCTTTTGTCTGGAGAGAGCTGAAATGTTTGTTACCATGAAGGTTGTGGGCCATCGCATAGCAGCTGAAGGGGGCTGTCTTTTGCTAATGTATTTTGTCTTTTGCTGTATTTTGCTAATGCATTTTGTCTTTTGCTATTGTAGCAGAGGGTTGAGTTGGATCAGTAAGAGCTTTCCAAAACATTATAAAATTAGTAAAATTACATTTCACGCTTAAACCACTAAATCGTTCGATGCACCTGTTCTTTTTTGTGGGTGAGTGCAGTGGCTCAGTTTATGCCTGCCATGCTCAGTAATGGGTAAGGAAGACCAGGCGGGCATTGCATCAGTATCTGTGAGGACTACAAGAGCCTGACCGAACCCTTGTCTCCTGCCAGGGATGTGAACTAAGAATTCAAACTTCATACCCTCATTCCAAACTAATTTATGATAAAGCTGAGGTTTTAGCAGTCCTGAAGCCTGTCTGTGTGGACGTGGCCCATGCTCAGCAGGTGCGTGCCCCAGCGTATGTTCAGAATTAAACTTCGGGGTATAATGCTACATTAACCTTTTGAATTCTGCAGAAACAACGGAGTTAGAGGAGAGCAAAGTAGATTATGTTCCTTCCTATACATCACCAAGGAACTTTCTATTCACTTCCACTCAGCTGTATCTTTGCAGCCAACCCATTGGTGCCCAATGTTCACATAAGCTCTTTGTGGCAGGGATGTACAGCACCCAGTACACTTGGCTCTGGGTCCATAGCTGCACTGCAGCCATACAGATAATAAATCAGAATAATATCCAGTGGCATGATTTGAAAGCAGCATGTTTGCATGGGTATATAATGTGTCCTGCAGAATCTTTTAATGCTGGTGGCGAGGTGAGAGAAGAGAAGAACACAGCTTGTTTGTGAGTGAGATTTGCAATTTAGTGAAGATCGAGAGCAGGATTGTTAACTAAAGAGAGAACACATGAGCTGTAGCTTATTTTTATTGCTTGGCTTCTTGTGTTTTCCCACGTCTTTCTTATTCAGTTGAGGTTGGGCTGGTTTTAATGAATGAAAAGTATGGTTGTTTTGTCACCATCCCAAGCACTTTTGCCTGGGTAGGGAAGGGGCTTTATAAAAAGAAAATTCTTCTTTAAACACTGGTTCAGCTCCCAGCTCTGAAACATAGGTGCTCACTTTGGTGTCACTATTCTCCCCAGTTGCTGGGACCAGGGAGGTCACGGCCAAGCCAGGATTCTCCCCCAGTCCTGCAGGTTTTGCAGACAAAGAGGGATCTGCAAACTGCTGGATTCAGAGTGGGCAAAGGAGCTTTGTTCATCTCT